TCTTGAAGTCCCCATAGCTCCCCTGCCTGTGCAGACGGAGGAAGTGGTGAAGCCAGATGTCACCAGGGCAGCCAGACACCTAGAGCAGAGCCTGGGGCTCTCAATTCTGGCACGCTCCTGCCTCAGCCTCCTTTGCCCCTTTTTCTCCTGTCTTCTCCTTTTCCTTATTTGCCCCCTTTTGTTTTTTGAGACAGGGTCTCACTATGCAGACCAGGCTGGCCTCAGAGCTTTGGTGATGCGCCTGCCTCAGCTTCCCGAGTGCTGGGATTACGAGCAAGCACCACCTTAGGACAATGTCCATGTCTGCTCAAAAGCCTTTACTGGCTCCCTATTCTCAGTTCTGGGCACCCTTATTTTGTGGCTACCTACCTTGGTGTCCTTCCCGTGTATCACAGGCCCCGGAAAATGTGACATCTTTGTAAAACACTCAAGCTGATTTTTCTTTAGAGACTCAGGTGCTAAACCAGGATACTAATCCATCATCCCCGGCTGTGCGTTCCGGGAAGATGCCCCACCTCTCTGAGCCCTGGTTATCTCATCAGGAAAACAGTTAATGACAAATCTTCTGGGGCCACAGTGTGACCCTGTCCCTGGCAGTGTAGACAGGAGGTTCTAACCCTGAGTGCCCCTCGGTCCCCTTCACACTTGACCAAGGCCACCTCTCTAACTGGGGACGGTGCTGGGGCCGGGCTGCCATCTCTTCCCACTGAAGAGCTCCCTCCCGGCTGGAGTCATGGCCCCAGAGCCCATCTCCCTGGGCACAGTGACCCCACTCACCCCCAGGGCCACAGCTGCAGGACGTCACCCGCCTGCCAGGCCCCCAGAACATCTGGGGCCCCCTGGCCCTGGCCTGCAGAGCCTGCCCAGCTGTACCTCTGCACCACACCCAGACGCTTTCCAGCTCTGCCAGGGAGACTGGAAATTTCTACTCAGCAGCCCAGCCGGCTGGGGTGGATTTCGACACCACTCAGCAGGGGATGGTGGGGGAGGAACTGATGGGCCGCCAGACCAGCTCAGCATTCCTGAGGCTCTAATTCTGGGCACCAGGAGGGGGCTTCACTAGGTCTAGGTGAGTCCCTCAGAAATAACAGTAACAGAGCCCCACAGTGGTGCCCCTCCCCTAGCACCCTGGGTGGCTGAGGCAGGAGGGTTGCAAGTTCTGGCCCAGCACAGGCCATTCAGCCACTTAGCAAGACCCTGTCTCAAGATAAAAACTAACCATTTTTAAAGAGGGGCTGGGGAGTGTACTCTGCATGAAGGCCCTGGGTTCAGCCTTCAGCACGGCAAAACCACACAGGGTAACAAAACAGAGCCAGGGAGAACCTTCTGGTGTCCAGGGAGCACAGCCCTGTCGCCAGCCCAGGTCCCAGGTGAATCGGAGGGAAGGCCACACTGTGACATCTACAGATCCAGCTACGTGTTGGGGCGCAGGCAGGGCTGGAAGGGAGGCGGCGCTGGGGTGGGGGCCCAAAGAAAACAAGAGGTTCAGCCCCGGGCGGGCGGCCTGGCCAGCACTGCGGGTAGGAGGAGGGGAGGTGGCCGCTCCTGGGACCCTGGGGACTGAGGATCTGGGTCTTCTGTTTCTAGTCCTCCCCAGCGGTCGGGATCTCTGGAAAACCCGAACCCAGACCCTCCCTCTCCCTGACCCGGGACAGGCGGGACCCCAGCCAGATTCAGCCAGGTCTAAGCGCCCCATTATGGACCCCAGGCCCGAACGCATTGGGGAGGAGGAACGATGGGGGTCCTAGGCCCAGGCGGGCAAGGCACCCCCTGAAAATGGATCTAGAGATCCCTTCCGGATCAGGGCCGGGCC